GCCCACCAAATTTTAGTTTAAAATACTATCAGGAAGGCTTTATATATACTCCCTTCGTCCCCCTAACTTTGTCTCGTTTTACCTTTTTCGTTCATCCCATTAAGTTTATCTCGTACTATATTTGGTAATATTTGGGTGGTTACAATTCATTTTTACTTTATTCACACTTTATCAGTTCAATATCAATCACATAATTCCATATTTTCTTAAAAGTTGTGTCATACCTTCTTGTCCCAAACATAGTGGGACGGAGGTAGTATTATTTAAAACCACTACAGTATACTAGAGATGTGGTTTGTCCGGGCGGACAGGAATCGTCGTCCGCCCAAACGTGTTTGATAGCCTTCCGAGTCTAAGTTTTTTATGAAAGTTTGTGAGTATGTTCTTCATGAAATGTTGAATATTCAAACAAAATTACAGATTAAAATTCTACCAGAAAGCCGCTTAAATAAATTATTGAAAAACATTGCGCTATATATATATAAAGTGTAGATTGTTTCCATAATTTATTTAATTGACTTTCTGATTGAGTTTTAAGCTGAAATTTTGTAGAGATAATGTACATTTGATGAACAACATGCTCTAATAATTTTATCAACAAATTCGACCCAGAACTCCTGATAGACCCTCAAACGAGCTTGGCTGGAGGGCGGTTCATGTCACTCCGAACCAACCAAATTTCTAATCTCTCTTTAATAAGTAGTATATTTATAGGATGTGGTTCAAATAAAAGTAGCGCTTCGTGCAGAGTGTAGACAGTTGCACTTATTGTTATGCATGGTGCCCTTTTTTAGCTGCAAATATGCCACCACAATTTAGAGCGATTTGATCATAAATTGAGTGCACCGGATGTATTCCTTTTTTGGATGAAAGGTTATATATTTTTAGTTTTCATGAAAAGTGTACTTTTATTTTATTTGAGTTATCACACACATTTTTTTATAAAGTAAGAGAATCATTCTCAATTTGGACCAGGCCCGGTCCGTACAAATAGAAGGCCATGTTCAACATAAAATAGGAGACCCTAACATTTGTTAGGGAATATAATGCTTATAATAGAGAATAAAATATACTAGTGGTATCCAATTTTGTAAAGTGCAATTCTTATCATTGAGGTAATACAGCAAGTATCAAAAATTCTAAATCACATCCAACATCTCCTAATCCTAGGCATTACGGAGTATAATATATACTTCGTACAATTTAAAAGAAATAAAGAATTCAAAAATAATAATTAACTTATACTCCGTACTGCTTATACTAATCAATTAAAAGGAAAAAAAGTAGGAACAAAAACGCCTGAAACAAATGATAAGACAGCAGTAGAACGGATCAATGGAAGAATGCGGCCCTACTACTCTGCTACTGTCGGTGTCTGCACTCTTCCAACTGCCGCCCAAAGAGCCTCCTGAATCCTAAGTGTATGGTACTCTAATTTTAAGGTATTCAACTAAATCAAGGCAAACAATCCAATGAAAAATTCAGAAAATTTAAGCATCAAGTTATAAGATGGCCGCATATCAAAAGAAGAACCGAAGACATCAGAAATTCGAAAGGAATCCGATTATAGAAAATTCAAAATCGCAGATTAGCAGGTTGCTTCGTTCGTCGCCGATTGTTGGATACGACGTTAAAACCCTATTGGTATATAAATAAACTTTTTCATCTGCTCGAATTGTTCCAGAAATTGTTCTCAGAATTGTTGTGCGTGCCGTTTGGTTTCTCCAAGAAATGCATAGACAAATGAGGAGTCAGGTCGTGTTAAGAGGATTATCGATAAAGCAATGAGACACGTCACTGGATTGGACCGCTGATAATGGTTTATTTAAAAATATCATTCCTAATGGGCCTTGTATACTACTATCCTAATGGGTTTATTTGGCTGGAGTGGAGGGAATTCGGAAAAGAGGGATAAAATGGAGGGAGCGAAATTTTTGAAGGGGAGGGAGTGAAAAGTTTGGTTTGAAACTTTATACAGAGTATTAGTGCGCACCAGTTTTTTTAAACTCTTTTTGAAAGTTCTAATGAAAGTTTCACAAATTAAGACTTAATGTTTAATTATAATTTTTTACCTATTGTTGTTCTTTTTTTTTAATTAACAAGTTTTTATTCAATTATTATGAAAATGTTCAATAAACAATATTATTTAATGCTTGAGTTTGTTTGATTTCTTTTTTCAATCAAACTTATCACTTAATTTTTTTAATTTGTGCATTATAAAATAGCGGAATTGTTGTGCGTGCCGTTTGGTTTCTCCAAGAAATGCATAGACAAATGAGGAGTCAGGTCATGTTAAGAGGATTATCGATAAAGCAATGAGACACGCCACTGGATTGGACCGTTGATAATGGTTTATTTAAAAATATCATTCCTAATGGGCCTTGTATACTACTATCCTAATAAAAAATGGGGGCCCTTCAAAAATTGGGGGCCCTGTGCACTTGCACCAGCTACACCTGGGCCGGGCCGGATCGGGCCTGAATTTGGTTCGCAACACGTAACGGAATAGAATCAAGACTTTATTTATGATCTGGTTGAGGATGTTTTTATTTGGTTTGTTTTCAGCCTCATACGAGACTATACTTAAACATACTAGATCAAAATTTCATAGTTATAAAATACACATACACCAGACATTTATCAAATCAGAACAAACAAATCAGTAAATTTGAGTCCAATTAAAACCGAAAAGGCTTGCCTTGCTAGTGCATGAGCACAAGGATTAGGAGATCCTTTTACGATAATTGAAGTGCTAACGGATTTAGCTCAAGTGCATTCTTCTGCTATCCATCTTCCCGATGGAAACTAAAAGTCGACAGGCGCAGATGAAGTGTTCCTAACTTTGGGCTATTAGGATGTTTTTATTTGGACTATAATTCGTCCCAGATCAGACCAGATCAGATCAGACCAGACCAGTTCAGATCAGACCATACCAGACTTGGATAGTTATAAAATACAAAGAAACCAGATCAGACCAGACCAGACCAGATCAGACCAGACCAGCAAATTACAGTCCAAGTAAAAACATTCTTACAATGTTTTTGTGGAGGCCTAGCTTTGGGTCGGAAGATGATGTGGTTCTCGACATTATAGGCTCTCCGGGCGGACAACATTGGAGATTAACTGGTTTTTATGGTTTATCCGAAAAATAATAGAATTAAAATTAGCTAAATCAATTATACGTATTTCATAGTACATACATAATACTCCGTATTAACTAATGTATAGGGGTTTTTCCCTTAATATTACTAAATAAAAGTCATTTCAACCATTCTTGATGTACACACTCTTGTACACAATTTGTACACACCATGTTTGTGAAGCTTTTTTTTTTGTCTGTGAATCTGGTTCACATACAATGTTTTGTTTGTGCAAAACATTGTATGTGAATCGATGTTCACAGACAAGAAAAAAAGCTTTCACAGACATAGGTGTGTACAAAAGTGTGTATAAGAGTGTGTACAAACATCATTTTTGAAGTCATTTTCCAGAAATGTGACCACATTTATATTTAGACAAAAATGTGACTAAGATAAAGTGACAATAAAAAATTCATGCCACTGCCTAATTTTCATCTCACTTTCGGATATCACTGCCGACATATCACTATCGTTGCTCGCCATGTCACCACCGCTATCACCGCCGGTCACCGCCCCGGCCACAGTGACACCACCACAGTGACGCCGCAACAGTGACGCCACCACAGTGACGCCGTCAATGCACAGTGACACTCGATTTTAAAGTGTGCCCCCCACCGGTAGTTAATCTGGCCGCCCTTTTCCGGCCATCACTCCGCTCCTGCCTTTTGCCCCTGATACTGGACCACCTCTATTCCATGTCACAGAACCACCTCCGTCCCATTTGCATAGACCAAGCCACACCATCGGCTCCCTCGACCAGATCTAAAATCCAAGTACTTACACCGTGAACTTCACCACAGATCTGGAAATCAAAGCGGACATCGATGAAGCCGCCACCATCGTGTAATTTCGTCTCTGTCGCTGAAGCCCTCGTCCATGCAGCCTCACCCTCATCGCTGTAGTGTCACCGTCTTCTTTGAATCCTCTTTGGCAGGTCGTGTGGCGGATGGTTGATGTTGGAGGTCACGAGCAGTAGACCGGAGATGGAAGATGGAAGAAGGGGAAGGGCAGCTGCGGAGGTGCGATGGCCCACTGTGGAGCTACAATGGGCCAATGTGAAGCTGGAGAAGAAAGATCGTCATCTTGGTCTCATTCAACATAGGGTAGGACCGGTTCCGGTTCGGGCCTGGGCCCGGCCGGGCCTCGGTTCATGAAGGGAGGCCCGGAACCGGCCCGAGTAACCCCCGAGTCCGGGTCGGGCCGGGCCTCGGTTCTAATTATTTTTTTTTGGCTTTTCCTAGTTAACCCCCAACCCTCCCCCTCACCCCCAAACCAACCCTAACCACCTCAAATGGCCCAAAATACACAGCCCAACCCAAAAACTTAAAAAAAATCAAAAAAAAAACAAATTGGCCCGGGCCGGTTCACCTTTTGAAGGACCCGAGCCCGAACCGCCATCCCACCGGGCCGGGTGGCCCGAACCGGCCAACCAACCGGTTCACCGGGTCGATCCGGGCTCGCACAGTAGCGGGCCGGTCCAGGCCCGCACAGTAGCGGGCCGGTCCGGGCCCGCACAGTAGCGGGCCGGTCCAGTTCCGGGCCGGTTGGCCCGGCCCGAGTCCACTCCTAATTCAACACGATGGAGAAGGAGAAGTCCGCTGGCCGCTGGGTCACTTTTTTGAGAATACACAAAGTGGTCATGTTTTTGGAATTAGAAACTTAGGGAGTAATATTTCTAATGTATATACAATTTTAAAAGTGAAAACAGTTCCCTCAATTGCGCTTATAAAAGGATATTTTTATAAATTAGAGTGAAAACACTTTCTTTATACTCCTAAATTAGCACTTGACAATTGCGCTTACCTTCCCTCACTTAAACGTGTCTACACTTCCTAAATTTCATTTACTAACACCTCTAAAAACACTTTAAAGAGCACGAGTACAAACAGTTCAAAGTTCAAGGTGCAGAAATTGGTTGATAAAGCAAATCATTTGCCTATTGAAGCCGCTGCTAGAATTGAAAACTATACACATAATACTCCACTGAGACAGGTTCATAATAATAATAAAAAAATCACTCCAAATGTATGTATACCAAAAACAAAGTTTTTGGGCAGCATTAAAGAAATATTGTGCGTATAAGGCTCTAACTTATTCGCAGCAAATTTCAAGAATGGATTGAGCAATCAAAAACCTTCTATTTCCCATTGCCAGCTTTTAATGCCTTCTTCAGTTCGACATTCACATCTTCGGGTTTCTTCTCTTTCAACCCGCTCAGATCCGATTGTTTCTTGCCTGCACAAACTTTGGATCCCTTCCCATCGAAATCATTGATTTCTGCTCTGAAATCATTCAGAGCATTCCTCAATAGCCCGTTCTCGGCCTGAATAAGCTCTAGCTGCCTCTGCACCTTCAAGCATACGGCTGTAACATCCTCATTGCTGGCAGGGCCCTTCTTGGACTCGACCTTGGCCACGTGTTTGATGACGATTTTGTTCATCACGAGCAGGGGAAGATTCCTGAAAGAAATGCTGGGTGTACGACCTGTCTTACCCAGTAGAACACCGTCAGCGTCCCCAGACTCCGGCGGAAACCTCAGCCCCCATCGGAAGTCCACAACTGCTCGGCTTTTCAATGGAAGTGTTGTCCTAGCGGTCACCGTTGTCCCGGAGAATAACCTCTCAACCATACCATTCAACTGAGATTCGGGAGCCAGAAACCCAACTTTCCTGTCGACAAAATTGACATTCTCCCCCACATAGCCGACCTTCGTAGTCGGATTCACAAAAACATCGTCTGGGACGACGACATTCAATTTGGAAGCAGCGCTGAAATTTTTCACAAGATCCGAGGAGGAATGTGATTTCTTGACGCAGAAATCGCCAAACTGAGGCTTGAAGTGAACGAAGAAACTAGGGCTTTGAGTTCCTATCAGGTTGAACTCGGCACTCATGGTGAAAGGGCTCGAATTCGGGGATCCGAAGTGCCCAATACCCGTTTTCAGAACAAAACTAAACGGCTTCTGAGAATCGTTGGGCCGGTAAGAGAACCTAAGAGATGGTCCGGCGTCAAAGAAAGAACGGAGGCTTAAAGAGAGTTCCTTGGATTCCCCGGCGGCGATTCCAGATTGGAAAGGAAAGCTCAAGATGCTGATAGGAACCTTGGCTCTAAGCAATGGCTTTTGATCCTCACGAAACTTGATCGAAGCTTTCATGTTCCGAATCGCTACGAAAGTGAAATCACTAGGAGGAGCGGGTCTAGGAAATTGAGAATGGTGACGACCAGGATTTAACTAGGGTTTTATATAGCAATCGATTTTTTTTTTTAAATTAAGCAAGTTATTAACTTATTACTATTATTATATCGGATTGAATTGGTGGAATAAGTGGACCGGAGGCGGAGATTTCGTGATGCTGATCTGGCTCCTCTTAATTTTGGCATACTTGACCTTCTACGATTTCGCTCCTCTACATTTTTGTACCTTTTGGCTGACATTTTTTTGTAAAAATGCTTTTATAGCAAGAATGTTTTTATTTGAATGGTAATTTATTGGTTTAGTCTGGTCTGTTTAAATATATTCTTGTATGGTTGATCTGAACTGGTAAATGTCTGATCTGTGTATTTTATAAATATGAAAATCTGATATGATTTGGTTTGTTTAAGTCTAGTCTGGATTGTTTAAGTTCGGTCTGGTCTGAGACTGAAAACAGTTCAAGTAAAAAGATCTCTAACTCCTCTCTTCTCTCTTTCCCTCCCCTCCTCCTTTCTTTGGATATTTTCCCAACCAAGCCACTGTTTACTTAAACTTCTTGCACACACATTCTTTTCTTCTCTTCATAGCTTGACGATGAAAGCCGAAGACAGACGATAGGGGAAAGCGAACGTGCCATAGATAATGGATTATAGTGTTGAGGATTGACATGGGCGAGTTTATCGTACCCCAAAGAGAGGAGTTCGTGTCTGAAGCACCGACGATAGAAGATGAAGGTGAACGACGTATAGGGTTGTAAACGAATCGAATAATTTTGATTTGATTCGTGATTCGAATTCGAAAATGCCGATTCGAATTCGAGTAAGTAGAAAACGAATACGAATACAAATCTATTTTTTGATTCAAATACTTTACGAATATGAATACAAATACTATGATATTCGATTCGAATAATATTCGAATATATTCGAATTATATATATATATATATATTTATTTATATATTCATACAATATATACCACTTCTTATGAATACATATAGTTCAATGTAAAAATATTAATAACAAAATATTCATGTAAATATTTTGCATATTTTAATTTAAAAATTCTTACTTTACCAGGTCAAAATAGCTTAATTTACAATTAAAATTCTCCGTTGATTTATCTATATTGATATTAAATTTGAAGTGACTTCTATAAATGAATTTTGTTTCCTATAAAATATGTAATATGAAAATTAGTTAAAAGGGGCAAACTAACATCATAATTTTAATTATTTTCACAAATTAACTTTAATGTTATTTGAATTCGAATATTCGAATTCGATTCGAAAAAGATACGAATATATCAAACGAATCGAATACGAATACAAAATAAGATTCGAATTTTAAACGAATACGAATACGAATATTCGATAATTATACGAATACGAATAATATTATCAAGTATTCGGTTCGATTCGATTCGTTTACAACCCTAACGATGTATGAAGGATGTCGGTGATGGAGAGGAACATCATATTTCCAACGCCGGTCATGAATGAGGTACGTCGAACGTATGTTTGTGTACGCAAACATTTCGATGTTGCGGTGCTTATAGAAGTGAATAACCTTGTATTTATATAATTTATGATCTACCAGTGGTGGATCTTTCAATCGGAAGTTGGTTGTTCAAAAAAATTAATGGTTAAAATAATTCACAATACTGTTTTTCGATCCCACAATTGAAGAAATGCAATTTTTTAACAACAAAAAACATGCAAAAAGGGTTAAGGGTAACAAACATTATATATAAAATACACTATAAATTACATTATATATAAACATTATATATAATTCTATACATGTATTTTTATATTTTATTTTCAAAATTTTGGGTGTTCACCTCAACAGCCTTGAACAAAGCACGTCCGCCACCGTGATCCATGCATGCTACACAGACATTTTGGTGTAATGGTATTGTATTTGAGGTGTTGTATGTTTCATGCATGTGTACACAAAGTAGACGTTGTATTGTTATTGCATGTGTACACAAAGTAGATGTATTGTTATTGCATGTGCACAGAAGTTTATATTATTAATCATTATGTCAAAATCAATGTGAATAAAAATGAAATAATGCATCATTGAAACAATGAAAATATGGTAAGGTTCAAGAATTTTCTAGACAGTATAATACTCGGTATGCATTATGCATGCAATCATTAGCAATTTAACACTTACATACACACACGAATGTTCATGTCTAGCCAGGTCGGATAGAACCTCCGTCCGGCCACCTCATTTTTGAGGTGGTTCCCAGTGGTATTTTTTGTTGAAATTTTTTGTGTATGTTCATCATCAATTCTAGTTCATCCATACCAAATTTGAGCAAAAAAAAACTCAATCGGGAAGGTTGTCAAATGATTTTTGCATGATAACTGCGTTTTATATGTATATTCCGGACCAGTTTTCATGCAAAAATCATATGGCAATCTTCCCGATTGCATTCTTTGCTCAAATTTGGTATGGATGAACTAGACTTGATGAGAAACATACAAAAAAAAATTAGACAAAAATAGCACCGGGAACCACCTCAAAATGAGATGGCCGGACGGAGGTCCTGTCCAGCCTGACCGGACAGGAAGAGCACTATACATACACACACACATATATATACATATATATACATACATACATATATATATTGTCACGCCCCAGACCGTGTCTGTGCCACGTAGACAACCGTCGTACAACCCAATAAGAATAACCGCAGTTCATCCTTACTAAATTGCACAAGACGTCCGATAGATACATATATATATGCCAAAACCGATTAGTAAACATACATAACAACATCAACATACAATTAAACACATAGCGGAATATAAGTGTTTAATAAGAACCCACACAAGGGTAAAACAAGAGCTCGCAGGCTCCATTAATTTATAAGTCAAAAATAGTTCCATGAGCATTATTTAATTATTTAGAAATAGAACCAGAGGAAGCACGAACCACGTCTTCTCTCCATCGATCTCCCGAACAACGGGTATAGGAAGTAAGCTCTAGCTTCAACCTGAAAGGGTGGTTCCCCCGAGGGATCAGTACTACAGAAAAGTACTGGTGAGGGCAAATTGTATGTAATATAACTAACGTTTCTCACATGGGACCCTCAACATATGGTGATAGTATACGTATAGGTATAACTCTTGGCTACCCCTTTTCAAAAACATATCGTATACGTATATACATATGAGTAAAATATCCGGCCCGTGGGCCCATTTGTCTTTCAAATCATTTAGGCGTAACAGCCTCGTTAAATTCACCCTTCCCATGTCCTACCCTCGAGTGAAGTCACCCGCAGGCTAACTCACCCGATAACAAAGATAATTATTTCGGGGGCCCTTTGGGCTCCCATATCACAGACATGATTTAATTAAATTCCTAGACCAAGGAAAATACCCAATCGGGAACTCATTCCCGATTAAGCTTGTTTAATCATCTAAAATCATTACCTTGAGGTTCACCTACCTCGAAGACTATTCATCCTTACAATCATAGTTTACATTTCCGGGGCTAACTCCGTCTTGAGGAGTACGCATACACCCTCATCCTTTGTGTAATTTGCTGGAGGTTGACACACCTCAAGGACTACACAGGCCCTTGTTACCTATATGCAATTTGTTGGAGGTTAACACACCTCAAGGACTGCACTTGCCCTTGTTACCTATGTGTAATTTGTTGGAGGTTAACACACCTCAAGGACTACACGGGCCCTTGTTACCTATATGCAATTTGATGGAGGTTAACACACCTCAAGGACTGCATTTGTCCTTGTTACCTATGTGTAATTTGCTGGAGGTTAACACACCTCAAGGACTACACGGGCCCTTGTTACCTATATGCGATTTGATGGAGGTTAACACACCTCAAGGACTGTATTTGCTCTTGTTACCTATGTGTAATTTGCTGGAGGTTAACACACCTCAAGGACTACACAGGCCCTTGTTACCTATATGCAATTTGATGGAGGTTAGTACACCTCAAGGACTGCATTTGCCCTTGTTACCTATGTGTAATTTGCTGGAGGTTAACACACCTCAAGGACTACACGGGCCCTTGTTACCTATATGCAATTTGATGGAGGTTAACACACCTCAAGGACTGCATTTGCCCTTGTTACCTATGTGTAATTTGTTGGAGGTTAACACACCTCAAGGACTACACGGGCCCTTGTTAACATTTGAGTATAAAAGACTCATCCTGGTCCTACAGATTTTACCTGACCTTACTCGGTCCCGAGTATTCACCCGTTGGTGGATAGTCTACCCGGGGGTATATATCCGAAGGGTTATTGCTGGGAATAACTTAGAGAGAAGTCAGAGCAAGTAAATGTAGAGAGAGAGAGTGTATTATAAATGTGGAGCGTTTTCAGCGTGGTTACAAATGGGGAATTGGGGTGCTATTTATAGTAGCAATAAATGCCGGACAGGGACACGTGTCAAGCGCCTATTGGCCGAGGGGTCACCTCAACTGGTTGGCGTTGGCAGCCGCATGTGGCCGCATTTAATGCGGCTGTTGGATGGGACGTCTGTACAGGGTACGGTGATCTGTACGCATGTGAGGCGGATATCATGTCGGGAGAGGTGCCCTCGGCTGCAGAGGACTAACCGAGGGCTCTTAGTGCCGAGGGCTCCAGGTGCCGAGGGCTACTGTTTTCACCGTTTTCTCCCAGTTCCTCTGTTTGTTCGAAATATCCATACTGTTATAGTTTGGAGCCTTCGGCCAGGGGGGCGAAGGCACCCCTGGTGCGTATTGCGGGCTGCTTGGTACTCTGGGCGCCGTGATTTGGGCATGTTGGGCCTTCTGGGCCTGTTGGGCCTCTACTGGAGTAGTAGGAGTCTGTGGGCCGGGTGTTCCCGAGCCATATACTCCATCAGGAGTCCCTCACTCCTTTTGTCGAAAGGTATTTGAGGGAAAAGGAGTAATTTGTGCTTGCCCTTTGATGTTGTCCTGTCGTGATCTCTGAAGTTGGTGAGGAGTTGTTGCTTTTGTGTCCCTGCCGAAGGCAGTCCCTCAGTTACCCACATGTCGGGACTTGAGGGCTTGCTTTGTCGTTTGTTGGAATTTCACTAATTTTGTAATTTAATAATTTTCCCGAGGGGGTCCTCCAGTCCCCCACTCCTTGAGGCACTTTTAAAGTGGTGAAAAGGAGTAGAGTGGTTGCGTTGCTGTTTGTGGGCCGAAGGCTGACGCTTTTCGTTTCATTTTGGGGGGATGCCTCGTTAAAAACCTCATTAGGAAAAACCCTGTGGGAAAAAATCCTAATGAGGGAAAAAGAGTGCACCGAATTCCCCCAACGATGAATCGAAAATGTGAAACCTTGGTCAAAAATGGAGAATAATGGTAATGTCGAAGGCTCTTATTTTTCTGAGGGATCATGTGTTGATTAGCCGAAGGCTTGCTGCTGATGTCATGGGGGTGCCGAAGGGGAGCCCCTCAATCTGGGGATCGAGGGCGCGATGGATGAGGGCAGTAGTTGCATTGTCACCGGGGGGTCCCTTGCTTGTTGATTAGTTGGTGATGAGGATATCCGAGGGCTCTCTTTACCTGTGTGCTGGAGACTATCCGTCAATGAGGTATACTCCCCGGGGGCTAACCAGCCCTTACAGTGCTGAGGGGGAATCCCCGAGGGGTGCCCTGATATGAAGCCTTGGGTTTCTGAAGGAGTGATCCCGAAGGCGTCTGTTATGTGCTGTGTGGGGCACAACCCGGGGGCGTCTCTGGGTAAGTGTACCCGGAGGCTCTCCTTGATAAAGTGGAGTGAAGTAGAAAACCCGGGGGCTTCCAGAATATAGCCGTTGGAAATATAGCCATTGGAATATGTAACGTCAGGTTTATAGCCGTTGGGGGGGTACACGTGGAGTGTAGCCGTTGGCTGCTCGTGGGCGGGCGTCACCGGTTGGGTGAAACGACGGTTTGTAATGATGACGCTTGGCCGGAGGCCCAGTTTTTGGGCCCAAGCCCGGATCCTGGAGTCTATAAATACCCCATGGCCAGACCCATTTCTTCTTGTGCGATCATCTGTCTTAGCGAAGCTCTGCCGGAATTTTTCTAGAGAGAGAAAATCACCCTCGATCACAGCAACTTTCAGAGGTCAGTTCTCCTTCGGCCCTCAGCTCCATTTGAGTATTTAGCTGTGCCTTGTGCCCTTAGGTTAGGAGATAGAATTCTCTAGAAAACCTTAGTTCCCTAGAGCCCTCGAGCTATAGTTAGAATGTCGTCCCAGAGTGATTCTCAAGACATCTCGGGGGCGCCTCGATGGAGGATGAAGTCCTTTCGGATATGGAGTCCTCAAACGAACAGTCCTCGCCCCAGGAGGACGTTGTGATGGCAGTAGAGGTGCAAAAGGAGCTGCTGGCTGAAGTTGAAGCCGAGGGCTTCGAGCAGGAGGTTGAAGACGAAGAGCTGGCCCTCGCCATGCAGGTTGCAGAGGAGGAGGAAGCAAAAGAGAGGACGAGGGTGACCGTGGCCGTCCTTCCCCCTCGGGGTGCTGGTGAGGCCAGTACCTCTCGGCCGCTGGACGCAGTTCCCATCCGGGTGGCCCCCGGGAAGAAGAAGGCTAAGGTATCTGTTCCCAAGAAAAAGGGGAGCGTCGCAGATCAAGGGAAGCCCCTCGATATGCCCGAGGGGTACTCCTACCTCAACACCGCCGCATTGGAGATCAAGTCGAAGGTTGATGCGGCGGACATCTATGTCACCCAGCTTCACGTGGGCCCCTCGGCCATCGTGGTGACACCGGGTCCGGATGACGTCCTCTCCCGGGCTCCCGAGGGCTGCATTGCGGTGCACGTTCTCTCGGTATCCATGGGGCTCCGCTTCCCCCTGCACCCCTTCCTCCGGGAGTACCTTCGGTTCGTGGGTCTGGTTCCCTGCCAGCTGACCCCGAACAGCCATTCTTATATCACTGGCTTCCTTCAGCTCTGCAAGTCCCGGGGGTGACGCCTAGCCTAGACCTCTTCTTCCAGAGCTTCAACTTGTGCCGGGGGGGCACGCGAATGCCGAGGGATTCGCCAATTTGCAGCAGGTGTCCATGTTCAAACTCTTCACTGAGGCGCCCTCCTCGAACAAGGGGTGGAAGGACCGGTGGTGCTATGTGAAGCTGACCGAGAGCCCCTTCCCGAGGGAGCTACGTGACCGCTTCAGGAGGCACGAGAAGAGGAGGAGCGCCGCCCTCGAGAAAGATGGCAGGATTCTGGCCATGATCCCGGAGGGCCGGGACAAGAATATCACCATCAAGGAGTGCACCAAGGAAGCAGATCTCTACACCCTCGGGTTCCGGTGGTACCGGTTCCTGGGGGAAAGAGATGAGAAGTTCCCAGTGTTTGAGGGAGCCTCCGGAGGTAGTGGCTGAGGGCATTCTCACCCTCATATCTTAGCACGTTGTTTATTTGCTTCGTTTATTCTTTATGCCACTTATTAGTGACCCCTCGATCCTAACCCCTCATTGTTTTGCAGGTATCCCAGTAAACATGATGAACGTCAAATGCCTCGCTCGACTCAAGAACAAGCCGGCCAAGGATCCGAAGGGGTCGGACGCTGGCGGCCAAAAGCCCGTCGGTGCGCCTCCCAAGAAGCCCGAGGGCGATGCTGCTGCGGCGAAGAGGAAGCCGACGGCAAAGGAGCCCCCCCAGGCCCCCAAGAAATCAAAGAAGGGGGACGCCGCGAAGGATGACCCCCCGGTGGTGATTGTAGATGACCCTCCGGAGATGCCGATGGCGCAGGTGCCGAGGGGTGCCCGGGAGCCATCTCTCGAGGTCCTCACGCTCTCCCTTCCGGCTGGCACGGCCGTGTTGAATGGCACGGCTGACCCGAGGGCGCTCCTGAGAGGTATAACCCTCGATATCGACAGGGCAGCTCTCGGGGTCGATGATGATCAAGCCCTCGAAGACAGGATCCTCCGGTCTTCCCTCACGGTAAGTTTATAACAGTTTGTCTTTCTCTTTCCTACTTTGAACTAGGAAATCACGTTCGGCCCTGACAACTCATTTATTTTTGCAGACTTGCGTTGCCCTCGGAGAGCAGTTCCGACGGCTGGAGGAATGGCGCCTCCACAAAGCTGGGCAAGATGCCAAGATGAAGGAGCTAATCCTCAGGGACTCCCAGGGCACGAAGATGATGGCCCAGCTTGAAGAGGACCTCCAGCTTGCGAGAGCGGAGGCCGGGAGGCTCAGGGAGGAGAAGGCAAAAGCTGAGGAGGCTGCTGTGGAGGCCGCAAGGAGAGCCGCCGAGGAGGCCGAGGCCATCAGGGCGAAGGCTGTCGCCACAGCCCGGGAGGAGGCCATCTCCGGGTTCCTGGATGGGGGGTGGAAGACCGAGGGGCACAAGGCGTGGCTGTCCTCGGTTGTGGAGGCCTCAGTCGACGAGTGGTGCGAGGGCCCGGGCGAGGAATGGATGGCCCGAAAGGGTAAGCAATATTATGATGGGGGCGAGTTTTTCACTCAAGCCCTCATCTACCGGAGGATGGCCCGCCATTTGAAGATTGAGCCGAAGGACTTTGACCCGGCGGCATACGGGCTCCCCCCTGCATCCAGACATCCGTGTTCCTCCCCCCCCCCCCCCCCCCCGATGTCGAGAGGCCAGACCTGGAGGATTCTGAGCTCCGGAGGGAAGCCGAGGGTGACGAACCTGAGGCCGATGTAGAGGTCACTTCGAAGCCATCGGGGGAGGCGGCCCCCGGGAATGACGTTATTTGATGTGTAATTTGTATTCAGCAATTTGAACACTCTTTGTAATAGTCACATTAGTATGTTTTCGGCCTCGGCCACCATTGTAATAATTACATTTACTCTTTGTTGTGATGAATGATGGATGAGTGTTTGCCTTCGGGCTTCGTATATATGGCTTGTTTTCTCTAATTCCTTTCTTCTTGAATGTATGCCTCCGTTTTTCTTGAGTGTATGCCTTCGCCCTTTTTTGAATGTATGTCTAGGACTTAGAATATTTTCTAAGTGTTTGAACACGGTTGTAGCCTTCGGCAGTTGGGCACCCTTTGCTGGATATACAACCGAGGGCTCAGCAGTAATTAGGACTTAGAAAATTTTCCTAAGTGTAGCACACCATAGGGCCTTCGGATGTTTGTAGTCCAATTGCTGGGTGGTGACTAGGTTGAGAACCCAATGTACAGGACTTAGAAAATTGTTGTAAGTGTAGTGTGTCATGTAGCCTTCGGCTACTGTGGAGCCCCAACAGAATTGTTGATTAGGCCGGGGGGCCAATCTTCAGGACTTAGAAAACTTTCCTCAGTGTTGATTCCTTGTGTACTGTAGCCTTTGATTGATAGGTAGCCTTCGGCTATTAGGTCCCTTCATAAGTTGAGATGAGGGTGAAATATGTAGGACTCAGAAAGATTTCCAACTGTAGCTTTTCCCTTGGGAGCCTTCGGGCGATGGCATCCCTTCTTGATGTATGAGTAGTTGACCGAGGGAAAAATATGTAGGACTTAGAAAATTTTCTAAGTGCTGTTGTATCGCATAGCCTTCGGCTATCATATTCCCTTAGTTGTAATATTGGTTGGGTCGGGGGCCCAATCTTTAAGACTTAGAATTTTTTTCCCTAAGTGCTGCTTCCTTGTGTCGCATTCGGGGTGATAGGTGCCCTCTGACTCTGCATCACTCTTGCGAGATGCCCGGGGGCTACTCATTTAGGACTTAGAATATTTTCTAAGCGTAAATTGATGTTGAGCTTCCGGATGTAGATCCCTCCGGGTATATGAATAGGACCCTTCGGGTGATCGTGAGGCCCTTATGTTGTATGAGTATTTGACCGAGGGCCAAATATGTGGGACTTAGGAAAATCTCAAAGTGTGCTATAGATGTTGAACCTTCGGTCAGTGAGGAGCCTGTCCGGGGGGCAGATATTTTGGGATAAGCCCCCTCAGTTGGCCTTCGATGATTTGTAATAGATGCCTTCGGTTGTCGGATGATATATTAGCCACCGGTTGTTGTCATTTTCCAAAAGTGTGGACTTAGGAAAAGTATGGAATCCTGTTGTTGTAAAGAAAACCGATGAGGAGTCATGTGCCCTCGGCATATACTTGAAAAGTTGTAGAGTTTGACTTAGCCAGTTGTGTCCCTTGTCATGGGGTAGGGTGCCCTCGGTATTTGTTTGAAGTACCGTTTAGTGGACTTTGGATAGTCCAGTCCCTTCCTATTGTTGAAGCCTTCGGTGTTTGTGTGACCGGAGGTGACCAAGCAGTGGACTTAGCCGTTTCTTGATGATATTTGTTTGAGTAGTATCCTTCGGGAAATAGGAGCCTTCGATTACCGGAGGTGTTCCCGTGGGAGCCCTCGGCATGTTGTGACCTGTCGGAGTGTACTCTTTGATTTCTCGCTGAGTCTACTCCCCTTCACCCCCTCTTTTTTTTGGTGGTGAAGGGAAGGCATCAAGAAACTTGGTTTCTTGGTAAGGCTGGGACTATTAGAAGACCATCAGAATACACCAATGGCTCTCCTCCCTCGGGTTAACCTTCCGAGTTCCGAGGGGATCAAGGGTCGTTTCCTGGGTACCAGATATGATGGTCTGTAACCTGCCTCCCCTTGGGGGATGGCGCGGAAAGCGCCTCATTTTTGAAAGTCGTCCCCTCGGCGCTAGACATAGTCCGTGGCCTGCCACACCCTTGGGGTGGTGGCGCGGGGAGCGTTTCGGTTTGGAAGTCGAATCCTGGGCATTTCTCGTGCCTGTCATACCCTTGGGGTGATGACGCGGATAGCGTTCCGTTTTTGAAAGTCGAATCCTGGGCATTTCTCATGCCTGTCATACCCTGGGGGTAGTGACGCGGAAAGCGTTTCAAGGAAGGGTTTTCATTTGCACACTAGTTGCAAATGGCCGGGGGCACTACGTGCCGCCGGAACCGATGGTGGCGCCTTCGGTATATGCGTCCTCGTGGGGTACGGCTTTTAGAAACAACACTTGGTGTTAGTTTCGATGTGTAGCCCCCGGTACTTGGTACCGAGGGGTCTTCTGTAGGAACACTTGGTGTTCTCTTTTGTTGTAGTTGATGGAGGTGTCTACCCTCGGTACTTGGTACCGAAGGGTCTTCAAATGAAACATTTGGTGTTTTGATTGGAGTGTTCGCTCTCGGCGTTTGGTGCCGGAGGGCCTTCGGAGGAAACACTTGGTGTTTCCCAACAGATGTTTGGAAGTTGATAGGAGAGCATATCCCTGGCACTGGGTGCCGAGGGGTCTTCTTTGAAACATTTGGTGTTTTTCTTCGTTTTGATGCTGATGATGGAGGTGTACCCTCGGCACTGGGTGCCGAAGGGTCTTCTGTAGGAACACTTGGTGTTCCTTGTCGTTGGTGATAGGAGTTCCCTCCCTCGGTACTTGGTACCGAGGCGTCTTGACTGAAAACACATGGTGTTTTCACTGTTGTCGTAGGTGTTGATGATGTCCGCCCTCGGCACTTGAGGCCTGGGGTCTGTAGTTGGTATGAGGGTTTGGCCGCTCATAAGTGTTTTGTTCTTGGTGTCTTGAATGTATCTTCATTCTTCGAAATTGGAGGCCTTGGGCCATAGGATAGTACATTCACTAGTTATGAGGGCTTGGCCGCTCTTACATTATTGATAAATTTTAACTAAGTGGTGTACATTCCAGTGCCTAGGGACTTCTTTCCCGTTGGGACGTTTGAGCTTGTAAGTTCCAGGTTTGACGATGGCTGCTATGATGTAGGGACCTTCGAATTTTGGTGCCATTTTGCCTCCCTCGGTCGGTTGGCTGGCTTCCCTCCTCCGGAGGACATAGTCCCCCACTTGGAATTCTCTGGTGCGAACTTTGGCGTCGATGTAGCTTTTGACTTGCCTTCGGTAATTTTCTGCCCGGATGAAGGCCTGCTCCCGGCGTTCTGAAATGAGGTGGAGGTCGAGGGCCATGTTGCTGTCGTTGACCTCGGGGTCATATTGGATCACCCTCCGGGTGGGAAGGGTGACTTCCGTAGGAGCTTTGGCTTCAAAACCGTAGCAGAGGGAGAAGGGTGTTTCACCTGTTGCTCGCCGAGGGGTGGTGCGGCAGGCCCAAAGGATGTTGTGGAGTTCTTCCACCCAGCCACCGTCCTCGGCCTCCAGCTTCTTTTTGAGGCCCTCGAGCAAGGTCCGGTTGGCATTCTCTACTTGCCCGTTGCCTTGAGGGTAGGCAACAGAGGAGAAGGTGTGTTTGATGCCCCATGCCTCCAGAAGGGCACAGAAGGGGGCTGCCTCAAATTGTGTCCCATTGTCGGAGATGATCTGTTGGGGGACGCCAAACCTTGTGAGGATGTTCTTGAGGACGAAGTGACGGCACTTCGCCTCTGTGATGCTGGCGAGGGGTTCAGCCTCCACCCACTTGGTAAAGTAGTCGATGGCCACAATGATGTATCTGTTGTTGGAGGTACCCCTCGGCAGAGGGCCCACAAGGTCTATCCCCCATCGAGGAAAGGGGACAGATGTGCTGATGGGGGCATAGTTGACCGCTGGCCTGCCGGGGGCTTTCTGGAAATGTTGACATGCGGTGCACCTCCGGGCCAGGTCAGCACAATCCCTGGCCATGGTTGGCCAGAAGTAGCCCTGGAGAATGAGCCTTCGTGACATGGAGAAGGGTCCCTGGTGAGCTGAGCAAGTGCCACTGTGCACTTCCTCCATTGCGACCTCGACTTCATCTTGATGAAGGCACCGAAGTAGCGTGCCATTGTAAGATCGTTTGTAGAGCCTTCCATCTTCGATGGTGTAGCTAGGAGCCCTCAGCTTTGCCAGTTTAGCGCGGGTCTCATTCTCGGGTAGCTGCCCTGTGGAGATGAAGGCGGTGATATCTGAGATCCAATCCTCTTGGCGTTGTTGTATGTTCATAACGGGGCTTGCATGGATACTTGAGAGGCTGAGCTCCTCAATTTTGGCAATTTTGGAGATGTGCTCGGGGGAGTCGGCCGAGAGCTTAGATAATATGTCGGCCTCGGAGTTCTGAGCCCTCGGTATTTGAGTGAGAGAGTGTGCCTCAAATACCTTAAGCAACTCCTTGGCCGCTTCCTTGTACTGTTTCATTCTTCCCTCCTTGGCCTCATATTCCTCGGAGATTTGGCCAACGACCAACTTGGAGTCGCATTTGATGTGGATCTGCCGAGCCCTCATGTTGGCAGCCAGCCGAAGGCCACATAGGAGGGCCTCATATTCGGCCTCGTTGTTGGAGACTTTGAAGGAGAAGCGGATTGCATAGTAGGCTCTGAAGCCCTCGGGAGTAATGAGGACTACCCCTCCCCCGCATGCTTTGGTCGCGGAGGAGCCGTCGGTGTAGAGGGTCCACCAGTCGTCCGAGGTAGCCGAGGGCTCTCCGTCCGCGGCTGCCCTTGCGGTACACTCCGTCACAAAGTCCGCCAGGGCTTGGCCCTTGATGGCACGCCTTGGACGGATGTCAATGTTGTACTGGCTCAAGAAGATAGCCCATTTCACCATGCGGGAGGAGCTGGTGGGGCTCCTCATGAGGGCGCCGAGGGGTTGATGAGTGAGGACCTGAACCGGGTGAGCCTGAAAGTAGTGGCCCAACTTCTTGACGGTCCAAACGATGGCTAACACCGTCTTTTCCACAGGAGAGTACCTGAGCTCGGCCTCCCTTAGGGTCTTGCTAACGTAGAAGATGGCATGTTGGATGCCGTCTTCCTCCCGGATGAGCACAGAGCTGATGGCTGCCGGGCTGACCCCAAGGTAGAGATAGAGGGTCTCCCCTACCTTTGGTTTTGAGAGCACAGGGGGTGAAGACAGATATCGCTTGAGTTCTTCGAAAGCCCCCTGGCATTCTGAA